GTATATAGCCTATACATCCTTAAGCGATTATATACATTCTTCATATTTGTTTTATATTTTTGAACTCAATTAAAAAATCTGACAACGGACAAACTTGTATTTAATTCCGCGTCATCTCTTTTATTCTCGTTCCAACGTTGATTTCCCAGTTTGTTATTCGCTCCTGTGTTGTCCGACCACATATCCTTCTTCATTTTACTCGATCCCCCATTCGTCCTGTCCATTGATTGGACGCCCGTATACACGATTTCTTGCCGTCTTTCCTTTTCAGCAGAAATAAATCTTGTGTTTTCGCGTATAAGCGGCCTTTTAATATCACCGGGCTTGATTTACCGTTGCGAGGCCATGCATCCAACGCGTACGAGAGGCCAAGCCAATGGTTCCCCCTGTCCCCGAACTCCCCGCTGACATTTGTCTTCCGGCCGGGAAGAAGGGAACATGACTGTCCCCAGGTTTTCCCTGATTTACCGCTCCTACTGATGGTATTTGACTAAACGCTCCCAGATCTCTGCGCGGACGAGATCGGTCGGTCCTTATCACAGCAAATTGGCATACGCGTTACCAAATATCATTTCAATTACATTGAATTAAAATTAATCAACGTTTGGACTTCCATTTGCGAACAAACTCGGGTAAAATCTCCTGCCTCGGTTTCACGGGAGAAGAATTCGGAAGAGGCAAGAGAAGAAGTCGCGGTGGTCGAAACCACCGAACAACGATCGACGGTAATAACATGATAATAATTTATAACATAACAATCGAGTCACCGTGATGCGAGCAAGGATCGTTGTACGTGGCGCGAGATGCATTCTACGGTTATGCAGCAGCGGAGTGCATCCAAGCGTTGCGATCATTACGAGAGGAGAGAGAGAGAGGAGGGTAGGGAGTGTACGTGTTCGTGGTAAAAGGTCCGTTGGTGTCCAGCTGATGAAAAAAGGAATCCGAAAAGCGAGTCCACGCGAAGAATCGGTGGACGGGAAAGGGAGGGTGAGGAGGGAGAAAAACAATGTTGCTTGGAACATTCAGAAAATAAGAAGAGAAAACAAAAGGCAGCGAGAGATGATGAGAAGCGGAGCCCGTAGTCGTCTGGCTCGCCGATGGACGACCAGTTGCATCAACGAGAGCGAATTTAAAAGCGATCACAGTTCCCAGTTTACTTCGTAAATGGAGGTGTAAGGATAAACTGTAAATCATCCGGCTCGTTATCCGAACCCGACCGCATTTAACGTGCTAGCCTGGACGATGCGGATCCTCTCCACGTCGATCATTGCGTTACCGTGATGGTAATAGCGTTCCAGGACCGTGCCCGGTGCTACCGTAACGACTCAACGGTACGGAGAATAAACATACAGAGGAAATGATCGTGATCATACTTTACCCTGTCCGAACTCCGAAAGGAAAATTTGAATCGAATCGTATGGAACGCGTTTCCTTCGTTCCAGCGCTACTTTTCAGCTTCGCTGGTTTCATTGATCGCGTCAAGGCAAACCTATTTAACGAAGGTCGATTCGTTGCCTCGGATCGGTTCTAGCCCGAGGTCTCGGGCGAAAGGCTGATCGCTCTATTTGAATTTTTTTACCAGCACGTGATTAATTGATCGCGATCGAACGTGACTCGATCGAATTGAACTCGACCGAGATCTCCTTTTTTCTCGCGCCAGTTCACGGATCGGATCAGTTCTCTCGCCGTCTGCATCCGGTGGTACGTTTCGAAACGGTTTCGAGAGTCAAAAATCGCGAAGAGAACGCGCGGAATCCGGTGCTTCTTCGGCCCGAGGACAGACGTCTTCTCTCGGCAGTAACTTGAGGAATGTAGGTTGACTACGAGTCCAGCGATTATTGCTTCCCGTACCGTTAACGAAGCCACGTTGCAAGCGAACTTCGTGAATACCACGACGTAAGAGGATCGGTTTTTCGAGCCGCGAACACGCGCCGAGAAATCCGCTGGAATGTTTCTACGTTAAATCACTGTGGACCAACTGAAGACCAACGGTCCCAATTAAGTTTTCACATTGCTTTTCTATCGTTCGATCAGAAGGACGGTGGATCACGT